ACTCACCACTGTAATAGGAGTGACATGTGATTATGCTCAAGCCACGTAATCCGTTGATTACGGTAAAGGAAAAAAAGTTACGACCAAGCTTTGTAAATAGAAAATTAGACCCTGAAAAAAAAAAAAAAGGTAAAAAGGAATGTGCGAAAATTGAAAACAAAACATGTATAGATGTGGGTAGGTACTATCAATCATCAAAATATGTCTTGCCAAAGTGTTTTTGTTTTTTCATCTGATAAAATTATATATATTACATTCTGAAAACTAGAGCCCAAAAGACATATAAGTTTGTGGATGAAAAGCTATCTCCGAAACTAAAACCGGTAAAATTACTTAGTTTCTAAATTAATTTAATAAGTTCTATTTAAAATTTTCAAAAAGCTTTATATAATACAACCTTGACTCATTATGTTCCTTTGTTTTCACCAACGTGATAGAAAAGATTATGTTATTCGTGTTAGGTGTACCTTCTCCTCCCAAAAGAACCTTTAATTAATAGTAACAACAAATAAATTACATCGCCTACGTGTAGTTTCGAGTTTCAACATTTTCTCTCTTACCCCTCGGGGTTCTGGCATAGTGGACATGCACATATTAACGTACAAATTGAGATTTTAGTACTTTTGGAATTTTTTTCCTTTTTCTAATATAAAGAATTATTTCTCCAAAGTCCCAAAAATTCCCAACAAAGATAGTTGTAGATTCGTTGAGGACCGTTCCACTTACCCATCTTCTCCTCTAATCACCTTTATATAAACACATTAACCACACTCTCAAATTAAAACCACAACGATTCCTAAACCGGAAATTAATCGGAATCGACATGACACGTCTAGCTGGTTTGGTTAACCGGGAAACAGAAGAAGAGAAACAAGAAGCAACAAAAACTACAAGCGATGGTAAGGGAAGTAGTGAAGAAGAATGCGAGGAGGAGGATGATCTGTTTGAGATAAACCTCGAGGCCGTGAAGTCGTCTCCGGCGTATGATTGGAAGAGATTTCCAGCAAAGACAGGCAGCGTTTTACTGGCAAATTGTCTTTTACCGGCTGCGGAAATCTCTGGTGCTGTGCCGGCAAAATCAAAGGCTTGGAGTGATGTGGTTTCGTTTAGAGGGTTTCTCTATGTTGAAAAGGATTGAGAGTAAGAAAGCTTAATTAGATACTATATAATATACTTATGCTATCTTTGTAGTTTGTATAATTGTATTTCTGAGCAGGTTGTATTGGAACCTGATTTGGATTTATAAATTTTAACTTAAAAGTCATCTGCTAATCTTTTTGTATATCAAAGATGTAGAAATCGGTTGCAAGTCCTGATTAATTAACAACAAATGAGGACATTTATATCCAAGGATGACAGATCCACATTGCCACTCTCCTGTATCCGGTACTAGAGAGAGAATCGATTTTCTTTATATATGAATTTCAGGGGATATAATGGAGGAATTAGGTGTATATATGATTCCCTTCGACGAGTAAAGGAGAGAATGATCGGCAAGTTTGGGTTCAATTAGAGTCTTAGGATCGAATGCTACTAGCTCGGGTACTCAAGACATGGGCCTGCCTTAAGTCATTACATGCATCACATTTACATTTCTACATAATTCGTTTTATGATCAAACTAGCTCCCCTGGACTCTATTTGGATTGGTGGAAGAACAAACAAAAGTGTTTTCATGGGTCCAAAGTGTTGCAACACGAATAAATGCTTTCATTTCCAACACAAGTTCTGCTTAGTGTTTTAGCCCTAGATTAAATGTGCAAAGCATAGGCTCACTCCGTAAGACATTGACGATATATTCTCTACATATTAATTTACCCAACTTTAGAAAAGAAGACCATTTCTTGTGAAGCTGCTTACGGGTGTACAATCCAGAATTCGGTTTTTCGGATGGAACACCCCTAACGATGTCAATACAATCAGAAAAAGTAGGTGCAGTTCCGGAATTGACAGTATAAGACTAAATAGAAGCCAAGGTCCCATGTTCTTACTTCACTCTAGACACCTGATTTGGAAGCAGACCAAAACTCTAAACTTTCCCTACCTCCAGACCAATGCGGAGCAACCACTAGATACTGATCAGTATTTTCTTCGAGTATGCATTAGTTCCAAGCTCAGCTAAAATGATAAACCAACTCCTGCCTATTTAGAACCATACTTTACGCAATCTTAACAGTATCAACCATTCCTAAAACTTGGGACCTAAGAGTATAATCCAAGCAAGGTATATAAGCACATTGTTCCTAACTTCCTCCCGAAAAACAAATGGCCAAAAATAAATATGGAATAAAGAAGCATACAAGTTCTTCTCAATAAGCAAAATGTTCTACATTAGTTTAGCCACCGAAGGTCAAAGAACAAGTTATATCAAAAGAATGTCTAAGAGAAAACCATATCGATGAATTGTGTGAATAATTCTTAAGTAATAAACCTTGAAAACCCAAATGACAGATACAAACATTGAATCAAATTCCTTAAACATATTTCTAAAGTACCAAAAATAAGCCTTTACACATCGCTGCTATTTCCCAAACCTCACATCAAAAGACCTTATATTGTAACCATATTTTTGGCTACTTGCTAACACCATTGGAAGATTCACAAACTATCAATACTTGAAACGTAGGCATAGCAGAGTAAAATCAAAATATAACGAGAAGAGAGAAGAGAGTATAGATCAAGAAACAAGCGTACGTGATCAAGCCACGGTGTTCTTCTCCACCGTCGGCGAGAGATACAACCAAAGTGGCGCAAGCCCTAGTGGACCACAACACAAACACCGCCGCAAGCACGAACCGGATCGGCCCTGCTCCTTGCGGCACAAATAATGAAACCGCCGATAAGACCACCACCGGAAGCAGACTGTATCCAACCAGGCTCGTACACGTATGGAGATTAAGGTTCCCGTTCCGACCCGCAAGCATGTTGAAGACGACGTATAGGAAGATAGAGGAGACGACGATCCATCCAAGTATAACACCGAACTGGATCTTACCGGCGAGCAACTGGAATAAGCAAAGCGCTAGGTATAGAAAGATCGGACCAGATAGATCTGAATCTTTGTGAACGGATTGGTTAATCCGGAAGGGATTAAGAATCGATCTAGTCTTCTTCCAGATTTGATCTGGATGGATACCGAGCTCGTCAAGCAAAGGCTCCTCGTCTTCAAACGAAGATGAACCTCCACCGCCAAAAGACGACGACGACGCGATTGTTCCGCCGAAAGGTCCAGCCGGCGTAGCAGATGACGCGGCTGCAGATCCGATGTCGAACGACATGAAAGGGATTGCGGAACTAGAAGGACGCGGCGGCTGAAACGGAGTCGCCGGGAATCGTCGTTGTTGAACATTAGCACCGACGGAAGATCCGCCGGAAGGGAAAACGACAGGTGGAACTGCGAAATCCTTCGTCATTTTCGAAATCGTTTCCCCCAAAATTGAATTGAGATCCCAAAATCAGCAAGAAAAAATCGAAATTAGGGTTCACGTCGGAACAATGAGTGAAATTTAACCCCCTTTCAAGTTCGTGACGTTTCAGATAAATTTTCTTCACTTGGAAGGAAAATTTGTAGAAGACAATGAAGAAGGGTCTACGAGGGTATTTTCGTCAATTTAGTTGCGACATGACGAAACTCTAGGGACTAGGCTTCTTCGGTATTGGCACGGTGACGTGTACCAGCTATTGAAATGACTTTAATATCCTCCTTTCTTAGCTTTGAGTAATTATATAAGGCCCAATGGGTCTAATCGGGCCCAATAACCATTGATGACGTGGCACGACGTTGTTGACTAAAGTCTCTCAGGAAAACCGCCGGACTAAAAAAATTCAACCAGCGAAGCGAAGACGGTGACTTTCCACACTTTTAGCCGGTGGATTCCTCGCCGGAGCAATCGCCAGCTCTTTCGCTTCCGGCTGAATATGGCTGTTGTCGACGGCGAAAGCATCTCGATGCCGGTGGCGGTGGCCGCCTGCGTCGCTATGGCATTATTCTACGTTTTGATCCTTTACGCTCCCACCGTGATTCTCCGCCTCCCGACGGCTTCTTCCTTCTTTGACTTCTTGATTCGGCGATTCATTTGTGCGGCTATTTCTACCGTCGTGTCTCTCGTCTTCACAGCTTTTATACTTCCGGTAAGCTTCTCGTAGTCGCATTCTCGATTTGAAGTTGAATCTCCGTTGATCTGTAAACGAAGTAAGTTACAGTTTGTATCGGTTCTTGTACTGCTTCAAGTTGGTATTGTTTACTTGCAATCTCATTCTTTCTTAGTTAAGAGGAAAAGAGGAAATCTGTATGCATTTGGTAGACATTCTTTTGTGTCTATTGTGGATGGTAACATGTCGATCAATGAAACTCAAACGAAAGGTGAAGGAATTTGACGTGTGTGTAGCTTTATTGAGAGTTGAATTTGCTTTACTATTTGTAGAATGCAGTAATCTTGCTTCAGGAAATTTGTAGCTACGTTCACATTATTTGTCATTTAGAATGTTACATTCAAATATTTAAGAACTCTGTTTGGCTACTATGTATCACACTCACTGTTTACAAGAATCGCTGAAACTTTTCTCTTTTCTTTGATCGAGAAATGTTAGATAAAAAGCAGGGAGACATCTTTTATACTTGGAGTTTATGGCATAAGGACAGATCATGTGGTAAGTTCCTTGTGTTAGTTTGCTTACTCGTAGCTTATTGTTAGTTGTCCGACTTTGAATTCGGGTAACTGTTACGGCAAATAGGAATTACCATGATTGGCCTTCAGACTAGAAAAAGGCGGTTTGTTCGAAAGATGATGTTTTGTGATATGAAACAGTGGCAAGGAGTGGTGTATCCTCTTCTACTGACCTCACTCATTTATGCCGGATCTTTGGTCTCGAAATTGTTGTTGCTCCTGGAATCATGGAGGGAAAACGGTGGAGGATGCAGTTTATTTAACGATATCAACAGCTTTGTCCAAACAACCCCCGCTTGGGTACTCGCAGCTGCTTCTAATGTTTCCGTTTGGCGCAATTTTGTTGTGGTAATCATCTGTTCGCCACTCTTTTCAATTCTGTTTTGAAATTGCATAAGACATAGCTTGCATTAATCTGACTACTAAATGCATTAATTTGGTTTATTGTCTAATACCCTTTTCCTACCGTCTTTTTCTTTTGTATGAGTAACTAGTAATTCGAACAAATAAAGGTATGTTAGAGTTGGCCTTTCTTTTGATTCCAGGCACCAGTAACTGAGGAGCTGGTTTTCCGAGCCTGTATGATACCTTTACTTCTATGTGCTGGATTTAGGATATACAGCGCCATCTTTCTCTGTCCAGTTCTCTTTAGCTTGGGTTTGTTTCTCTGCTTCTCTGTGAATTTCTCTGTGAGTGACAGTTTACAACTCGAGTTGGGTTGAAAATTGCTGGATGTGTCTTTTTTTTTTTGTATATTTTGTGCAGCCCATTTGAACCATTTTAGAGAGTTATACATCAAGCATAACCGCAGCTACCTCAAGGCCTCACTGATTGTTGGTATGCCCCAATTTCCTTCATAATCATAATAATGTTTGTCCTTAGACGAAATTAAGAGTCCTGAGGCTTAAGTTGTCACTGATCAGGTCTTCAGCTTGGCTACACAGTCGTTTTTGGTTCATATGCATCGTTTCTCTTCATCAGAACAGGTACTTTCTAAGATTACATGTAAAGCCATTCAAATGTTGCCCTTGATGATGATGATGGTCTCCTGAATTGTGTAAATATATACAGGACATATCACTGCTCCTTTGTTTGCTCATATATTCTGCAATTACATGGGATTGCCTGAGCTACACGCACGAGGAAAAGGTAATTACAAAATGACATAAACTTCAAGGTTGCTATAAGAAATGCAAATGCAGAAGAAATAATAAGATTTAAGATGGTGATGGTTCTTGTGTCAGGTTTGGTGAGTGCAGCGTTCTTGGTGGGTGTGGTTGGTTTCGTCTTACTTCTCTTTCCTTTAACAGAGCCTCTCATGTACAACGATAGAACCAACGATTGTCCGTGTTGGCTTGGGTACTGTATGTGGAATTGAAACTCTTGCAATCACATCTCTGAATGTTTTGCCAATTTTAACTAATCATCTCTGTTGTATCTAAATTATGGCCTTTTACTGTAAGCTAATGTTTTTGGTACAGTTATTTTATTTTTCTCATGTAGCAAATAGTGTGTAGTATGTTGAATTTTTTTGTTTTTTTTTTAAACAAATGAAAAAGTAGAATAAGAGTAAGGGGAAAAAGATGATAAAGATGCTGGTTTTTTTAAGAGTAGAGCAGAAGGTACAATGTAGTCCCAGAATCCACCATATCCTAAAGAACCAAACCCCACATGAAAAAGGCAAAAAAAAAAAATCTAATTAACATATAAATGGAAACAAAAGTAAAGTATCCCTCAGAGACACAATGCTTCTGTCCTTTTTCTAGTAAAAACTATAAGAAAGAACCCACCAAATTAAATTAACATTAACAAAAATAGAAAAAAAAAACTACTACTTGATAATTAATCATACTACCACTAACCACTATTCTTAACTGTTTTCATTACACCAAGGATGGGTTCTTCTAATTAAGCATTGTGATAATGATGATTTTTTTCAGTCTACCAAATCCAAATCTTGTCCTAAAGAGTCTTTGATTGCATCAGGATTGTCCAGAAGCAGAGCTTGATGAAGAGAAACTGTTGTTGCTTCCTTGATTTGATCCATTAGTGTTCTTGGTTTTGGAGAGTTTCTGCTTGAGTTCAAGTAGAAGTTGTTGATTCTCCTGATTCAGAATCTGAGCTTTTTTCCTCAACCTCTCGTTCTCTTTTATTATATAACAGTTTTGCAGGTACAGCTTCGAGTTTAGCCTCTCCATTTTCTTCTATAAAAACTTGGCTCTGTTGCTTCAAAATTCAAAAATGTGAGATTATGTTAAGAGACAAAAAATAAAAGCTTGTACATATATGTTATGATTATAGAAGTTGAGGTTAAATCATTGCAACACCCACATGGGTTGTGCAGCTTCACACGTTTAATGAGTAAATTACATTAAGCAAAAATCATCACTGCATTTATTTCGTTTTCAACTAAAAATGTCAAAATTTTTTTTCTTTTTAAAATAAAAATCAATGATCATACAGAGGAACAGTCATGCTTTTTGTTTTGTTTTGCAAGGATARAAAAAAAGGATAAAGCCACCATAACAAATAAAAAGTAATGATGATGCAGTAAGTTTAATGATGAAATTTGAATACGAAAAAAACAAAAAAAAAAGTTAATGAAAAACAAAACAAAAACCCACCAAAAACAGAGCAAAAAGAAAAACAGAGCCAAGAATCTTTATCGTAAAACTAAAAGGAGGAGAAAAAGAGAGTTTTGAAACAGAAAAAAGAATGAATGAATAAGAAAAAAAAAACAAATAGGGTTTTATTCGGTTGGCTTTGTTTGAAAGAAAAGGATAAAGCTTTAAGTTTTTCCATCAATTCAAAGTTTGTTATAAAGAAATAAAAAAAATAAAGTTGGGTTGTTATGTAAATGATTTTCACGTTGCTTGTACGTGAGGAGAGTCATATT